GTTGGGGGGGGTGTGGGGGGGGGGGGGGGGGGGGTTCTGCTATTAATCCTAATTATATTCTTTCTTTAGTTATAGTACAGAGTTTAGGGGTCTTAAATGCGAATTTTAAGTCAAGATAAAATCTTGGTTTGATCTCAAGGTCCTAATTTCTCACTTCATCGTATTATCAAGTTCTCTCTCTACACATATTGCTGCTACCGCAACCAATCATTGGCAGGCTAATCGAAGGTGGTGTCATCTCTCTAAATCTCTCTATATAAATATAGTCTATATGTGGTGTAGCGTATATGTATGGTGTGGGAGTTATTGAAGCTTGAACTCCATCTGTTTGATTGAATGATCCGCTTATAAACTACACTTTAAATTGCCCTGATACTGTCAATAAAAGTTCAATTATATTCTTCAACTGGTCATAAAAGTTTGATTTTCATATTTGATGCATCTCCTTTAATATTCATTTTATTTGCTGATTGTATAGTTACGTAAGAGTTAGGGGCGGAGCCCAATGAAGTCCAGTGCGGTCATATGCCGGCACTGAACTTTTAGGCTCCACCCCAAGCCCAAACGTTTTTTTTTTTGCAGTTTAAATTCATTTCCCTGTCCAACCAAGAGAAGCCCAGTAGCCCAATAACAGGTTAGCCCAATCAAACCCCATGACCCATTCAATTGAATCAATCGGCAATTGCACTTCGATTCATTCAATTTCAACCGGTAGCACACTAGTACTCGTCACTTCGCTCTCCGCCCGTCACTCAGCCGTGCCCGTCTTCGACTCAAGTCACTCAACCTCCTCCTCGTAAGTCCGCCAGTCTGATTTACTCTGTAGTCCGTAAGAGGCGTTGCTTCCTTCGCAGTGGTAGCTCCACGCCTCCACCGCTCCAGATAACCTTCGACTTCGAGGGCCGAGGCAAAATCGGCCGCCGGCGATTCTTCCAAGTTCCAGCAATAGGCAGCCAGCAGAAGAAGAAGGTGAAGCCCCAATTTCTAATTTTCCACCAATCCTGATTTTGAAGCTTTTTTTTTTTCCTTCTTTTTTGTTTTTTAGATTTGTGTAAATTGTAATAATATTTGATTTTTTTTGCTTGTTTTTAATATATGAAACTAGTACTTTGTCTTCAATTGCTCGCACTTCCTACAGTTGCTCTTCAATTGTTTTTTCTACCAAACAGTGAGTGAGACACACTTCCAGTTCATTGTTGCCTCAGCCTCTGGCAGTCTGTGATTGCGAGTTACTTACTCTGTTACTGCCTTACTGGATTTTGGAAATGAATTAATCTATTTGTACAATGAAATTGTACAATGACTTTGACAATGTGTAGAGTGTAAAGATCCTCACCATTGAATTCAAAAACAGTTTTCTGAATCAATGGATATGATGCCCACAAACTCTCACATTGTCAAATTTGTTGTCAAATTCATTGTACAAGTAGCACAATTGTTTTGGAAATAGTACATATTGCCCTGTGAAATTGTGGATTGCAGTGTGAATTGATTATGTGAAATTTGTGAAATGCACTGTGAATTGATTATGTGAAATTGTGAATTGCACCAAATTTTGTGAGTTGCTTCCAATATTTGTTATAAATTAAGTCATTTTTAGTAGTGTTGTACTATTGTTTTATTTTTTTGTCGTCATTAAATCTATGACCAAAACCTTGATGTTCGGCGTCGAATTTTTTTTGCCTGCACCGAACTAAAATCCTGACTCTGCCTCTGGTAAGAGAGATGCCTGCTTTAGCGGCAAACAGAGTGCTTCTTCTTGTTGGTGATTCTTTTTGGTTGAGAAAAGTTTCCGGGTTTTTGTGGGTAGCTCCAGTTCGTAGCAAATGAAAGTGTGCATCTCGCTCTCGCTAGTTTTGGTATAAAGAGTGAATTCGAAACTGCAAGTGGGAATGAGGAAAATAAACTGAATCAAGGGGTTTCCACAATTAAAATCCCTAAAAGAATAAAAAAGAAGGTTAATATTAGTGGAATTAAGGGTGTAAAGAAGAAAGAGAGAGTTGATATAGAGGCATTATGCTCCTTTTTTGCAAAATCATTTTCTGAGCTTGGCCTCCCGCCTTTATTAGTTGAGAGGTTAGAGAGGGAAGGCTATGAAGTTCCAACAGATGTTCAGGCTGCAGCCATTCCCCCAATTTTTAAGAATCATGATGTTGTTATTCAGTCCAATACAGGGTCAGGGAATGGCGTATCTTCTTCCAATACTTTCTGAGGTGGGACCACTTTAGAAGGATGTTGAATTTAGAGACAATATGAACATAGAAGCTGTGATTGTAGCACCTTCACGGGAGCTTGGAATGCAGATTGTGCGGGAAGTTGAGAAGCTTCTTCATCTTGGACCTGCAGATAAGAGATTGGTGCAACAACTTGTTGGAGGCGCGAACAGGTCGAGGCAGGAAAAGGCTTAAAAAAAGAACAAACCAGCCATTATCCTTGGAACACCTGGGAGGATTGCGGAAATCAGTGCCTCCGGAAAGCTTCATACACATAGCTGTCGGCACTTGGTTCTAGATGAAGTGGATCAACTCCTAGCATTTAGTTTGAGGGAGGATATGCATCGTATAGTAGGCTGGAGCATATGGTGTAAAAACTAGGCAAGCTGATCATCAGACTGTCATGGTGTGTCTGCAATGGTGCCATTTTCAGTGATTAGGGCAGCTAGGAGTTGGGGGTGTGATCCACTTCTTGTTCAAGCCAAAAATGTTACTCCACTAGAATCTGTTGCTCCCCGTGCACCTGTTAATCTGTTAGGAACTGCTTCTGATTCCAATTTAGGCACAAATTTACAGACTCTAGCTCAATGAGCCTACCACCTTCTCTGAAACATTATTACTCTGTTACAAAAATACAGAACAAAGTGGATATGTTAAGAAGATGTGTACACGTTGTTGACACCAAATGTGTGATAGCTTTCATGAACCACTCCAAACAACTAAAAGATGCTGTATTCAAGTTGGAGGCTTATGGAATGAAAGCTGCAGAGCTACATGGTGATCAGAGTAAGCTTTCTAGATTAACCATCTTAAAGAAATTTAGAAATGGGAAAGTGAGGGTGTTGTTGACAAACCTGAAAGGGAAATGCATAAGGCCAAAGATTGAAGCTTTGGTGCTTTTGAGTGGAAAAACTCAAAAGGACTTTACAAATTGGAGAGAGGAAGGGAGGTTTGGGAATGCTATTGCATTTTCCTTTTTGATGACAACAAGAATAGTGATAGTGAGTGCAGGAAGGTGTAGAATTGAGTCTCTAATTCATGGAGGAATTGTGTTTTCTCCCATTATGTAGCCTCAACCAATTGGTTGAGTTGGTCTAGTTCACGTGCATTAAGAGAAAAAATTAGCAACTGAAAGAGATGAAAGAATAGATTAGTAATTTGATGCATAAAGGTTGCCTTTTCAACGACCTTTTTTTAAAACAATCGTTTATCGCCTTGACTATTACAATATGGCCATTTTGAAGAATTCCTCTATTTTCTAACTATTTGAATGTAGATTATTAATCACTGCTGTTGCTTCTCAATTTTTATATTTGTTTTTGTTGTCATGGGCTTTTATGCTGTTGCATGTCTGTATTTTCGTTTGCGCATCATTGCTGATTTCTTATGTCTGTTCTTAATGAATTGTTTCCCATAGGATTTTTATTTATTCTTTTGTAATCTTAAAATAGTGATGCTTTACTAGAGTAATCTGATCTGATCCTTTTGGCTAATTACCATTTTTAATATTTATGCTTTTGGACTTGACAGATGAGCCATTGAATAAAAGCTCAAGCAAGAGATCGTTGAGCTGCACTTTATATCAATGATTGAATAACTCCATGAAATTGGGCTTTTGCGATTAATCTTGACAAATTGAAGATTCAAAAGTTGAATCCAAATAAACTTTGGGTATTCCCAATTCATCCAGTGTGGGGCTGGCTTTTTAGCTGAGTGAACTGAGTCGTGTTACTTCGTGTTCACAGCGAGTTTTTTTGTACCCTGCTATTTATACAATGTTAACAGCCCATTCGGTGGCCATCTCAATTGTGTCACCCATCATACACCCACCTCCAACCGCATTAACTTCCCAATCGATATCCTCTTGTCTTCCAAAACTAATACCGGGATCCAAGACCAGACGGCGAACCGAAAAAGCTAGAGTCTTTACTCAATCCCCGACACTTGCAGTCCTTTCCGACCCTCATGTTCTCCAACTTGCAGAAACTCTTGAAGACTCCCTCCAGTCATCATCATCTGCACCTCTGCCTCCTCTACAAAAGCTTAGAGACATATCCGCCCAATCCCTTCTCTCAACCCCATGGCCTTCACGCAAGGATGAACCTTTTAGGTTTACTGACACTTCTTTTATCAAGAACTCTCATATCGAACCCATATCACCCTCCAAGTCACGATCTTTGGCTTCTTTGCCAGTTTTAAGTGATACTCTTTTGCCTTTAAATGTTACTATACTTGATGGGTATGTGGTGGACTCTTTGTCACAGTTATCAGAATTGCCCGATGGGGTGTTTGTTGGTGGTCTGTCAAGCATAACTTCTGAGGCTACAATGAAAAGGGTGTCTGAATGTGTGCCAAATTTTCAGGGGGACTTGTTTTGGCTGCTTAATGGAGTGGGTGCTCCTGATATAATTGTTATATATGTGCCTGAGGGGTGTAGAGTTGAGAGTCCATTGCATTTGAAGTACTTCTCGCTGAAAGGGAGTGAAAAAGATTCAAAAACTTTGCCAATTTCAAATCCGAGGGTGTTAGTTCTGGTGGAGAAAGGTGGAGAGATTGGTATAGTCGAGGAATATACCGGCGTAGATGGGACTGATATGTGTTATTGGGCCAATTCAGTTATGGAAATTGTCATTGGGAATGGGGCGAAGGTCAGCCATTCTTATATTCAAACACAGTCCTTGGGTGCTGCACATATTAAATGGACTTCGGTTCGCCAGGTAAAAGTTCTAGTCTCATGTCAACTTCATGTGGTGGTCATCTTTTTTATTCTAGAGCTACGTTAGTGACTTAGTGTAGTTCATTTGTGGTTAATTAAAGGATGTACCAAAGTACTTCAAAAAACTTAAAACTTAAGGGGTTTCCTGATTCAATTCTTTTCACCCCTTTTAAACCTTTTTTTATTAAATAAAGTTATATTTTTCCCGGGAAAACTTGATGATCAGTGTATAGTCTACCGCGGTGAGTGATACTCTGTGAGACTGATAATTTTATATCAGTTAGTTTGGTGAAGACAGAAATCAAAGGCTATATATAAAACTTAGGGCTTACGGTTTCACCTTTTGGCATCTTTTTATCAACATAATGTCATAACTAGGAGTATGCTATTTGAAATTGAACCTAAATTCTTTAGAAGACAGTTAAAATTATGTTAATGGACAAAAATATTTTGGTCATCTTGCACAATCCAGAAACTGGCTGCCTGACCCGCTTTCTTGTTTTCTTATTAGCATTTCTTCGGCCTTTACAGTCCATTTAATTGAAACTGTTTTGCTACAGATAAGTTATATAATTTTCATGTCTAAACTAAAGTAGACTTACAAAATTTCCAAGCAGATCCCTCGAACAAGCCAAGTATATCCTGGAATTGTAATTTTGTTAAAGTTTCATTGAGTGCATCTAAAGCCACTTGGTCAGTCCTGTTATTGTAACTGAACAAGAGTCTCTCTGAAATGCAATTGAAGAATTAGTAGTTTAAGGAAGACAAATGTCATTGTTAAAAAAACTAACTTGTATCCTTGGACAGAGTAGTCTTGGGTGAGTTAATATTTGTAATGGTGAAAATGAGCTATGCTTCATTTTGGAACTAATTTGTTAGTACTGGATAGAGTAGTCTTAGGTGATTAACATTCGTCATTGTGGAAAATAAGTGATGCTTCATTTTGAGATTATACATTGCATACTGTATTTTTGAAAGGCTAAATTGAGTATTGAGGCATTTTGCTTCTGCGAGCAAGACTTAAGCCTCAGCATAAACAATTAAAATAAATTCAAGAAATTAGAGAATACAGAAAAATACTTATAGTAAGCCACACTCCAACAGAAAAGTCATAATAAGACATTTCAGTAAAATTTGAAATCTAATTTGCAACTTGGCAATTAAAAAGGATTAGAAAAGTAGCAAAATATTAACTTAACAAACCACTGGTCATGTAGCAAGATCACTAACTTACGATTATAGAACTAAAATGGAAAAATGAAAACCGAAACAAGTGACAAATTAGTTATTTGATTTTATTTATTTATTTTTTTTGCTGTGATAAAAGAAAATCCAGAGACAAGCAAGAAGACAGACAAAAGAAGAAATGTATAGAAGAAAAAATAGTTACGTGTCACAGGTCTCATGTCACCAGCCATTGAAAATTGCAACTTCACTTTGGTGGCTTGGAGTGGTGGGTAATCACACTTTAGTTGTAGGAGGCTAGGCTATTCCCGTTCACTTGTTCTCCTTTAATTTCTTATTCTTTTTTTCTAAGTTATTAAACTCTAATTGTATTTAAATAGTCCGAATAACCCTTAAGCATTCTAGATTTTGGGGAAAAAAAAAAAAAAAAAAAAAAAGCCTCAAGAGGTGAGGCAAATAAAAAGTCTAGAAAGCGCTAGGAAATGGAGCACACACCTCAGCCACACCGAGGCTTATGCCCTGTGGTGCCTCAGTAAGTCGAGGCTTAAAAAAGGCACTCAAGATGCAGACTTTGAATCTCTTAATGAAGGGCTCGGGCGTAAGGCTGGGCATTTTTTTGAACATAGATTGTCAATTGCCTATCAATGGTCATGACTTCTGTGTATGGCCTTATTCATGGCTCCTGCTAAAATGCTGCTTACAAACAATAATCTCGTCTTCACAGAAGCAACCTTATTTGTGGACCATGGATATATGACAGAGAATGCTAAAACTACTAATAATTCTTGGACAATGCATCTCATGATTGTCAAACTTAGGCTGATTATTTTGCAGGAATCAACTAGCATCTATGAGCTCACAGAAGTAAGCACCGGTGGAAAATTGAGCAGGCACAATTTACATGTGCAGCAAGTCGGGCCAGAAACTGTGACAGAGTTATCAACATTTCACTTATCAATTGGTGATCAAATACAAGATCTACATAGTAAATTAGTGTTGGACCATCCACGCGGGGTTTCTCGTCAACTTCACAAATGTATCGTGGCTCACTCTTTGGGGCAGGCTGTTTTTGATGGGAATGTACAAGTCAATAGGTAAAGTTTACGCAAATCTTTGCAATTTCTCGTTTTACGTTAGTGCTTATAGAATTCAAATGTTTGTTAAGTTTAATTGGTAAATGCAGAGATGCTCAGCAAACAGATGCAGGACAACTAACAAGGAGCCTTCTATTGAAGCCTCGGGCTACTGTCAACGTTAAGCCTAATCTTCAAATCATTGCAGATGACGTCAAGTGCTCCCATGGAGCTGCGATTAGTGATCTGGAAGACGACCAACTCTTCTACTTCCAAGCTCGTGGTATTGACATAGAAGCTGCAAGAAAAGCTCTTATAATTTCATTTGCGGCTGAGGTGATAGGGCGTTTCCCTAACACTTCGGTGCAGAAGAAAGTCGAGGGTCTAATGAGAAAATTGCTTGATCCTACAATTCCTTCAGGGTAAGGATTGATCATTTGTGTAAAACTCTTAAGTGATGATGTTTTGCAATTTAGTTATTGCTATCTTCCAAAATATACAGATCAGAATTCAGTTCTTGAAGTGAAGAAAGCAAATTATTCAAGTTATTGTACCAGTTTTTGCTATTTCAAATTTTCTATAAATTATTCTCTTTTATTGTGTATGATATGATAAATTCCAAGTGAGGTCGTTAGCTTTGTGGACCAATTTTCTTCTTTTATCAAGTCATATCTTTAGCTTTCTAGAATATTGTCTTCTTTTGGCAGCTATGAACGCCTTGCTCATTTTTCATTTTAGTTAATAAAAAAATTAGTATCAGCTTTACTTATAAGCAAACCTTTTAACATTACAATCCTAATTATTAGGTATTGTAAATTCAAAATATAATTGCTTTCGTCTTTGTTATAATTTTTATTTTTATTTTTATTTTTATTTTTTAATTTTGGAAATGATAAAGAGTAATATTAATATACACACTCAAAAAAGGAAAAGAAAAAGAAAATATATGTTGACTTTTTAACATTCTCTAACAAGGACGTTTTTTTAGAGAGTGGAGGAAAAAAAAATCAAAAAAGTACTTGAAGCCTTCTCTCTTTTTTATTTTTTTTTTTTTTTTACAACAAGAAGAGAATTTGCATAGTTAAAAGAGAAAGAAAAAGACGTCTGAAGAATTTATTAATATACAAATAGAGCAATATGTCAATGCACATTTTACCTGTAACTAGTCTATGCTACGTGCGATGCACGAGTTGTGTATGAATTATGGTTTGATTAGCGTATGTATTGAATATGTTTGAAAATATATGGGAAGTTGGAATTATTGGCAAGGAACTAACCAGTTATCGAGTCGATCACTCGTCTTTCTTCCACAAAATGTCATTTTTCTACCAAAAATTGCAGAATCAATTAAATCTATTAATAATGAGAATTCAAGTCATAGTTAGTCAAAGAAATACTCCATTGGACAGTAAAAGCATTCCAAGCAAAAAAAGCTAGCACCATAGCAGTACATTCTTCAACAAATTATAGTAGATATAAATGTATTATTGTACAGTAAAAAAAATAATTCAAGGTAAAGCAGAAGTTAGAACATGAAAATCCTAAAATTCTTCATCAACGACTATTTTCCTTAATGGAATGTTGAGTGTTGTTCTACAACGCTTAGGTGTCCATTTGTGATGAGGAATTTGAGTAGTGTAACTAAACTTTAAGGCACTGTATTGTTAAATAATGCTTTGATAGATATTTCATTAACTCAAACTCTGTAGAATTCAAAAACTCCTTAACATTACTCAATACTACATCTAGTTTTGTCCAATATTGAGATTCAATATTTTCGAAATCTAGAAGCTTATCCTCCATATGTATGCTTCTAACAATACCCGGATTTTTCTTGTCCACTTCAGAAGGAGGGAGTGAATATTATAAAAATGAAGCTCTCCTTCAAAGGAATCAGTTTCTTTTTAGAAAATCAACCTTTTACTACATAAAATATTCTAAGCTGATCTTGTCGACTAAATAAACTAATTGTTGAATCTCAAGAAGATTTGGTAAACTAAGGACACAAGTAGGCATATTTTGGAAGAAGTTACAAATTCACATACAAACTAACAAGTGATATCTTTATTCTTATACTGGGAAAAAGTGTGTTATCAGTACTTCGAGAGAAGTGGACTATTAGAAATTAATAGAAGGTAAAAATGTTATCTAGATTGTGTACATATCTAAAGCATTTAACCCTTTGAGCAACAACTACTAAAATAGTTGCGGGAACGCAATTCTCAAGGGGTAAAAAAAGACTCTAACATTTAACAAGTTTGAAATAAATTGCTTCTTTGGGATAAACTATAATACATGATACTTACAAGATACCACCCTTCTCCATTGCCTTTCCTGAGGCAACCCCAATGGTTTTTATGTCCTCATCTCGTTCATTTGAACTAATAATTATATCTCCAGCTACTAAATCATTAATGTTCAAAACTGTCAAATGAAAAAATTGAACAATGGATTGGGAAAAATAAAGAATTATTCCAATTCTAGTTGCACTTTCATTGCTAAAAAAAGGATGTTTGGAACTATCCTGAACAAGATTCAATACATATGCCTGGAGATGTGAACAAAAACTTCAAAGCATTTACCATAGTACATTTAGCAACTTAACTCTAGGAAAGAATATCCAAGTCTTAATTCTTATGCTGGTGAAAACAGCTATAACTAAAAAGTAACTTAGTGAGAAACATCACTGGTAATTTGACATGATTTTCTTTTATTATTTACACTTTGAGACAAAATGTTTACAAAGATACAAAATTAATCTGTCTGTGTAAGATTTTTTATGTATATCATGACTCATGAGATTAGTAAAACTCAAGGATATGCATAGTAAATAAAGGAAAAAGAAAGGAAAATAAAGTTAAGTTATAGTTATGTAAAAATTAGAGGAAAAATGAACAATGCACTAATTTCCATTAGTTTAATACTAAACAAAGTGAAAGAGGATATTTGGTATTAAATCCTTAAATGATATGAAATTGAAAATCTAAAACTGAATTTTGTGACTAATGAATCCAAACAGCATTCTGAATTCGACTGAAATTTAAAGGGCACTTCTTCAAAACAATGACAATACAAATAACATTTTTCCCTTGTTAAAATAGAAGTACATTTTTTCGTGATGGATGGTCAATGAAGTTTGTAAGAAAGTTATGGAATTCCATAATTTGTTCCTAATCAGTTTCTAATTTTATGTTGATTTGTTTTCTATTTAAATAAAAGAGTGATTCTCTCCATTTGTTCCAACTGTAGCTAAAATTAAGGAGATCTAGTGACATCTTGTAGTCAGGGATTTCCTATAAATATCCCAGTTTATTTCTTTGTAAATAAGTGAATAAAAATTAGAGTTTTCCTCTTTTAAAATCTTCATGGTATCAGAGCTTGATCTGTATCCATTGAAATGGTAAAAATCTGAATGGCAATTCCAGCCACTTCCTCTTCAATTGAAGAAACTTCCAACTAAGAAGACACCCCTTCCAACATTAATGGCGGATCTGATAGCTTTGTTATGCCCATCACTGGGCATAAGCTGAGCGAAAATAATTACCTCCAATGGAGTCACTCAATCATGCTATTCATCTGTGGGAAGGGAAAAGACAATTTCATAACTGGCGCAAGGCCTACACCTTCGATGGAAGATCCAAAATATAAGGCCTGGAAGTCAGAAAACAGCATGGTGATGTCATGGTTAATCAATTCCATGACCAAAGAAATCGGAGAGGACTTCATGTACTACAAGACCGCTAAGGAAATCTGTGATGCAGCTAAGGAAACCTACTCAGATAATGAAAACACTTCTGAATTATTTGAGATAAAAGGTATCCTAAATGATCTCCATCAAGGGGAACTTACTGTTACACAGTATTTTAATACTTTAAATAGATACTGGCAGCAACTAGACCTTTTTGATGATGCTAAACTTGACTGTTCAGAATGCAGTCTTAAGTACAAAAGATTGTTGATAAGGAAAGAATTTTTAAATTCTTATTTGGTCTTAATAAAAATCTGGATGAAGTAAGAGGAAGAGTCCTAGGAATGAAGCCAATTCCTCTAATCAAAGAAGTCTTTTCTAAGGTCAGAAGAGAGGAAAGTAGAAAGAAGATTATGATGGGAAACTAAGTCTCACCAAACCTGAGTGAGAGTTCTACTCTTGTGGCAAGCCATGCAAATAATTTACCAAATGACAACAGCCGACAAAGAAAAGGAAGAAGACCCTGGTGTGACCACTGCAGGAAGCTCGGACACACAAGGGACACTTGCTGGAAACTACACGGAAAGCCGATCAACTGGAAATCGAAAGTAGCTGTTGAAAGTTGTGGCTTCATGTCCACTGGAGGAGAAAAACCTGCACCAGATTCCAACCTTTTCAGCATTGAGAAAATTGAGTTATTGAAGAAATTGATTAGTCAACAATCCTCTTCTCTTCCCAATTCCATAGTTTCTGGTTCTGTTGCTCAAACAGGTAACTTTTCAACTGCTTTGAGCACACAAATGGAGAAAAGTAGTTCATGGATTTTTGACTCCGGTGCATCGGATCACATGACTGGTAATGCTAATCTGTTTCACAAATATGCCCCAACTTCTAAGAATTTTATGGTTCGAATTGCTGATGGATCATTATCTAAGGTTGCTGGAATAGGATCTGTTATTATTGCAGATAACTTAACTCTAAATTTAGTTCTCTTGGTTCCAAATCTGACTTGCAATCTATCGTCCATTAGCAAGCTTACCAAGGACCTGAAATGTGTTGCTAATTTTTCCTCCGATCATTGTGAATTTCAGGACTTGGAATTAAAGAGGATGATTGGCAATGCTAAGGAGTGTGCAGGGCTTTATCTCCTTAAAAGTCCTAATAATCCTAAACAAGCTCAAACTGCAAGTAGTATGTCGCTTTCTGTTTATCAAAATTTGTCTAATAAAAATAGTGCAATCATGTTGTGGCACTATAGATTAGGTCATCCCAATTTTTTGTATTTAAAAAGGTTATTTCCTACATTATTTCATAATAGTAATGCCGAGTTCTTTCAATGCGAAGTGTGTCAACTCTCCAAACATGTGAAAAATCACTATCCAATCCAAGGGTACAAAACTTCCCGACCTTTCTCAATCATTCATAGTGACATATGGGGACCGTCTAGAGTAAGAAATATCATAGGCGCTCGGTGGTTTGTGTTATTTATTGATGATCATACTAGGATAACTTGGATATACCTAATGAAAGAAAAATCAGAGATTGGCCCTATTTTTAAAAATTTTGCTAGCATGATCGAAACTCAATTCCAAACAGAAATAAAAGTGCTTAGAACCGATAATGCCAAAGACTATTTCAATTCTATACTTGGCGAGTATCTTGATAGGAATGGGATAATTCATCAAAGCTCATGTGTCGGCACACCCCCAACAAATTGGGTTAGCATAAAGGAAAAATAGACATATTCTGGAAGTGGCTAGATCTATTATGTTCACTACAAATGTCCCTAAACAATTTTAGGGAGAAGCAGCCCTCACAGCCACATACCTCATTAATAGAATGCCATCAAGAGTTCTAAACTTCCAAACACCTTGTCAAAACCTTCTCCTTCCCTATCCAAATTCACGAATTACGTCATCCATACCATTAAAAATATTTGTTTGTCAAGCATTTGTACATATTCATGAGCAACACCGAAGCAAACTTGACCCAAAAGCCATCAAATGTATTTTTCTTGGTTACTCTCCCACTAAAAAAGGCTACAAATGTTATTCACCTATCACTAGAAAATTTTATACTTCTATAGATGTCACCTTTTTTGAAAACCAATCATACTATCCAAAAATTCACATTCAGGGGGAGAACTCATCTGTACAAGAATGTAATTTTTTGTTTGATATCGACACCTCTCTATCTAAAGCTGAGCCCATTACCTCCATTCCATCAGAAATTAGACCAAACACCTCTCCATTTGAAGTTGAGCCCAATACCTCCATTCCATTAGAAGTCAGACCAAACACCTCCATCCCATCAGAAGTCGAGCCAATCGCCAACTTCATTCCTTTGGAAACAGAACAAAATTTGCCCAGTAACCATGAGTAGTGGAGATTATAAAAGAGTAACTATGATAAAAAATAATCACAATTAAGATAGCATAAATACGGTAAAACCGTGATGATGGACAATTTATTTGACAAACTTCATATACATGTCATAGTACTTTTATAATTTGAATTCATATTCATATTCGAGATAACAAAGATAATAGAATCCAAACGCTCATTATTCAATAAATCATTTCAGTTTATCGATGTGAAATTGTAACTGGTAATTTTTGTCGTTTCTGAAATCAAGTTCTCATATTTGAACAAGATTATTCCAAAAAAAAAAGAAAAAAAAAAGAAAGAAAGAAATAAATAAATTTTTTACATTACTTGCAAGTAAAAGATTAAATCCCCAATCCACCAAAGCCCAGTGTTAAAATTAAATAAGAGTATATTGAGTTTGTTCTATTACAGTTTCTAACCACTGCTCTAAAGAAGGGGAAAATGAAACAAAAAAAATTGCTCTATTTCAAAGTCAACAAAATAAAAATTGATACCCCACCAAAACATAATCATTACACATTCATTGCTTAGTATAGAAAAGGAGTTAGAGAGTCACCTTGTAAAGACTTTGAAAGTAAAATTACTAGCGAAATATCTAATCTTGAATGCGATGCAGAGGTCGGCAGATGAAAGAGACAGTAGGATAAATGGAAGTGAAATAAGTTTTGTAGAAGGAAGAATCGGGTTGTGGTTTAAGCTGTTTGGGAGAGAGTAAAGATGGCAGAGCGTTGAAGAGAAGGGCGGACAGAGGAGAAAGGCTAGAATTCAATTGGAACGAGGTGTAAATGATCCTCTTTTTACAGAACCAGTTTGTGAACACTATACAAACCATGTGTGAAACAGAGGGTGTACAAATGAAAAGTAAACCCTCATGAAGATTATGAACGGAGGCATTATTCCGTTATTATGGAAGCTCCATAATGCCTCCGTTATTATGGACCCTCAAATAACGGAGGCTCAACACTTTTGAGCCAAATGTCTTCGTAATTACGGAGGTACAATTTTTTTTTTCTTTTTTCTTTTTTCCTTCATTGGCTCTCAATACAACAATTTAATTTCATTTAATCAACTTAATTTTTTTAATAGATGTGATTCCTAAAATAAATACATAAAATATAGATCAATTTTTTTCTTTTATATATACGGAGAGTATATAAATCTTTCAAATGAGCAGAAATGTAGATAAATGATAGACATATTAATCACATTTTCAATCGTAACCTTTTGAGTGCAATCAAATAATGTTTAAAATGTGTTAGATCAAATAGTCACTAGCGTCGATAATTCAATAATTTTTTTCTCCTCACTTTTATTTTTGGGAAGAGTAAGATCAGACTTTTTCGGTAACATATTATCAATTTCTCCAACCAGTGTTAATCTATTTTGCTATTTCTACACCCAATTCTATTTTCTCTCTTATTTACATACTTATTCCATCCACATTTCAATGATTCCCAAATATCTAAAATTAAACAATACAACACCATTCCTTCATTGGAACTCTTTAATTGAAATATAATGTTCATAAGAAATTTGTACACACATTACGCAAATAGATACATTGTTCCACCAAAATATTTGTTTTATATTCACTTATATAGAAACCATCATATGCGTATATTTCATTTTTTTTTTTTATATATCTTGATACGGATCCATTGCATACCACAAAAAAAAAAAAGATGAAAACATTGACAGCAAAAATTCGAAATGAAACCAATTCACACAAAACGCAAGAAAAAAAATCAATCAAACTCCGTTAAATGAAATTGAGCTGCCATCCACAAATTTCAATAATAACAAGAATAAGAATTAAAATTCAGAACAACCAGACCTCAATCAATCCATACAAAATATACAACAAATAATTTGCGTGGTAAAATGGAGAAAACATGCAGTAGCGTCTGAAAAATGGAGAAGAAGAAAGAAAGATCCACTTAAATTGACAAGTGGGTGCATCACTGTAACTTGCAAGTTTTTTTTTTTTTTTGACGGCGTCGTTTTTGCTCTAGAGATAAAAAAAAATTGCTGTGAAATGGAAGAATCTATTGTTCTTTCTACAATAGCGAAATATTACCCTTTTTATATAGTAGTGAAATAAAATTAGGAACATACTTATCAAGTACCTATATGCATGCTACTAACCAAGATTCACTCCAATTTCTAGCCTAAGGCTAAAAAAAAAAGAAAAAAGAAAAAAAAAAAACTTATGTGAACTTTTTACATAATTTTATGAGATTAATAACAGAAAATCCCTCAAAAACTTGTTCATCTGCGATATACCTCGTATTTATTGGAAATCGTAGAAAACCCCCTTATTTGAAACATTTTGTTTGAAATACCCACTACCGTCAAGCCACCCCGAATTTGACCCGCTGTCATCTCTACATATGGGCAAGACTTGCTGCTATTAAGCCTAATTTGAGAAGTGCTACATATACATAATTGTCTACATAATGATGTCTATAATTACACGTGAAATTGGAACTTTTAATTCAAATCTCACACTTGCACATCAGCAATTGAATGATTGTCACATTATATTATGGACACCATTATGTTTAATAATTATGTATAAGTAGAATTTTCCTTTAGTTATAGTACAGAGTTTAGGGGTCTTAATGCAAATTTTATGTCTAGATAAAATCTTGGGTTGCTCTCAACGGTCTCGTTTCTCACTGCAATATCAAGTTCTCTCTCTCTCCATCTCCATATACTGCTGCCACTGCAACCACTAATCGGCTAATCGAAGGTGTTCTCTTCTTTCTAGGCCTCTCTACATATATACATCTATGTGTGGTGTAGCGTATATGTATAATGTATGTGAGTTACTGGAGCTTGTACTCCACCTGTTTGATAGAATGACCCGCTTATAAATTGCGAATTGCCCTGATATTGTCAATAAAAGTTTAATTATATTCTTCAGCTGGTCATATAATTTTGCTTTTCATATTTGATGCATCTCTTTTAATATTTATTCTGTTTGCTGCTTGTATAGTTACGTAGAGAGATGCCTGCTTTAGCGGCAAACAGGGTGCTTCTTCTTGTTGGTGATTCTTTTTGCTTGAGAAAAGTTTCCAGCTTTTCGTGGGTCGCTCCAATTCGTAGCAGTGTGAGGTTTTTTGGTCGTTTTAGTACTGAAACTGTGCCTCTCACTCTCGCTAGTCTTGGTATAAAGAGTGAATTCGAAACCGCAAGTGGGAATGAAAAAAATAAATTGAATCAAGTGGTTTCCACAATTGAAGTCCCTAGAAGAAGAGAAAAGAAGGTTAATATTAGTGGAATTAAGGGTGTAAAGAAGAAAGAGAGAGTTGATCTAGAGGCATTAGCCCCCTTTGCTGCAAAATCTTTTTCTGAGCTTGGCCTCCCGCCATTATTAGTTGAGAGGTTAGAGAGGGAAGGCTATGAAGTTCCAACAGATGTTCAAGCTGCAGCCATTCCCCCAATTTTTAAGAATCATGATGTTGTTATTCAGTCCTATACGGGGTCGGGGAAAACGTTGGCATATCTTCTTCCTATACTTTCTGAAGTGGGACCACTTAAGAAGGATGTTGAACCTAGAGACAATATGGACGTAGAAGCTGTGATTGTAGCGCCTTCACGGGAGCTTGGAATGCAGATTGTGCGGGAAGTTGAGAAGCTTCTTGGACCTGCAGATAAGAGATTGGTGCAACAACTTGTTGGAGGTGCGAACAGGTCGAGGCAGGAAGAGGCTTTAAAAAAGAACAAACCAGCCATTATCGTTGGAACACCTGGGAGGATTGCGGAAATCAGTGCTTCCGGAAAGCTTCATACACATAGCTGTCGATACTTGGTTCTAGATGAAGTGGATCAACTCCTTGCATTTAGTTTTAGGGAGGATATGCATCGAATAATACAGCATGTCGGTAGGAAATCTGGTGCAGGTCTGGCTGGTGCAAATGGTGCTAAAACCATGCAAGCTGATCGTCAGACTATCATGGTGTCTGCAACAGTGCCGTTTTCAGTGATTAGGGCAGCTAGGAGTTGGGGTTGTGATCCACTTCTTGTCCAAGGCAAAAGTGTTATCCCACTAGAATCCATTGCTCCCCGTGCACCTGTTAATCTCTTAGGAACTTCTTCTGATTCCAAATTAGGCACAAACTTACAGACTCCAGCTCCAATGAGCCTACCACCTTCTCTGAAACATTATTACTCTGTTACAAGAATACAGCACAAAGTGGATATGTTAAGAAGATGTGTACACGCTGTTGACGCCAAATGTGTGATAGCTTTCATGAACCACTCCAAACAACTAAAAGATGCTGTATTCAAGTTGGAGGCTCGTGGAATGAAAGCTGCAGAGCTACATGGAGATCTGAGTAAGCTTTCTAGGTCAACAGTCTTAAAGAAATTTAGGAATGGGGAAGTGAGGGTGTTGTTGACAAATGAACTTTCTGCTAGAGGATTGGATGTACCAGAATGTGATCTTGTAGTTAATCTGGAATTACCCACTGACTCAATTCATTATGCACATCGAGCTGGCCGAACCGGTCGTCTTGGCAGGAGAGGTACAGTGGTTACCATATGCGAGGAGCCACAAGTTTTTGTCGTTAAGAAGCTACAGAAGCAGCTCGGGGTCTGTATTGAGGCTTGTGAGTTTACAGAGGGGAAACTTGTTGTGAATGAAGAAGAGAAGACATAGAGGCCTTGAGGTAGTTACACAATTTCTAAATGTTTGAAAAATCTCATAATAGAGATTCATGATGGAACTTTTATCAGGTTTCTGTATTCCTTTTTTGTTCTCACTAGTAAATATTGTTGTATGAGTAGCATATTAAGTTTACTCCCATTTAAGTGTCTTGTCCAATATTGACTCGTCATAAAATTTGAGATTCTTTGATGAGATGGTGTACTCAAACTGTTTTAGAACACTTCTGTGAGTCACATAGCCATTGCAGATCCTATTTTCACATGCACTTCTGAGGTTAATATAACTACAAGAATTATCTATGCTGGAATCTTGAAGGAAGATGCTATAGATACTTTGATATGCCCTTGCCCTTGCCCTTGCCCTTGCAAGTTCTTGTCATAGTTTAATTATTAGTGTGTTAAGGGATTAGTTGTATTTTGGATAGATTGCAAAATAATGCACCCACAAGTTCTTTTCATAGTTTAATTTGTAGTATGTTAAGGGGTTAGGGATGTTTCGTTAGATTGCAAAATGCATGTGGAACCAGGTCACTGGAGGTAGTTCTATTTACGCTCGACAGAAATTAGGGAATGGGTTGGGGAGACAGTCGGGCCTCTCAAATGCTCGACAACACATCATAATTCATTATCATTAGGCAGTACAATTTTACATTCTGTTTTCAGCATCGGGTCTGTGGAGACTTACCATTTTTTTTCAGTAGTATTAAGGGAAAGTGGGAAAGTACGAATGAGAATATTACAGCTGATAAAGAAGGTTCTTATATAATTAGATGTCAAGCTGCGTGTTTGTTAGATGACACTGACAACTCAGTTCCCTTACTCATTATATTTTCCACATCGCATGATGCACAACTGCATGCCTGGGGAAAGGAAAAAGAAGCGGCGGAAAATTTTCCACGCAAGACAGATCTTTTACATTTGAATTTTATCTTCTTCAGCTAAAACATGGAGGTAACAAATTTCTGTTTCATCTGTCAGCCACAAGCACTGCATTAGTATTTTTTCTGACATTCTTGGAGTGAAAACACATTCTGATGCATTAGCCTTTCCTGCTTCCAGAGGAGTAAAAAAATATATAGCAGATGCTTTTCTTGGTACAGATTATGAAAGCTGTTTGAGACTCTGAAACTGATGAATTATCATCATATGATCCTCTTACAGACCTTGTAGCTTGATAGGAGCACACTAGTCAAAATAACTAGGAATAGAGCAAATGACGTGCATACAGAGGCAGTAGCTGCCGTCAACGTCCATTTGTTGGATTACTGGTACAGCAACAGAAGAAGATGAAAGGAGGAGGTAATCTGCCAACTAACAAAGTGGCGATGGAATAATCTTGATGATCTTTTACTGTGGACGAAGGGAAGAAAATGTAAAACATGATGTTGCGAATCTGTGGTGTCTGTCGATTGGAAGGTGATATAATAATTTGTTCTTGTGAATTCCCCCTTTGTTCTTTTCCTTTTTGGCGTTTTCTTAATGACTTGCATTTTTAACTTTGCCTGAATTATTCGTAGATAAAAGAAAGCATGAAGTAATAAAATGCGCACAACAAAGAGAGCACAGAATCAAACTCCAGTGACTCCTGTTTTTGATTATTTTTGTCTGTCATGAACTTGAAATATTTTGTCATTGTAATCATGGTGTCATATTGTTAAGGTTAAGAAATTTTACACACCAAAAGCATACTTACAGGAGAAGGAAGGTAATGTATTCAAGATTTCGATTTTTCATATAAAATTTTATCGGCAGCTTGAGAAAAATGGTTGTTTTTGGAAGTCCTAAACGTCTTTTAACTTTATCTAGGAACTGCTGTGAAGGAAAATTCTACTTGTACATAATTATTGTATATAATAGTGTCGATAATGTGATGTGTCAATTATTCGATTGTTGATGTGCAAGTAGTTGAACCAACAGAAAGTAGAATGATAGTCTTACATGAGAGCAAATTTGGACTCGAAAACTCGACTATATTCTCATTGAAAAAAGGTGAGCTACAAATAATTCGCAGTATGCAATATGTACTTTCGAGATTCTATCAATATAAAGTGCCAGTTAAGAAATAACGTAACATGATTTACAAAATGAAAATGACCAAGAAAAATACCCGATATCCAAAACGAAAATGATCAAGAATAACGTATTCGCCGTTTGGACATCAAGATGTCTGCCATATTTTTATTATATTCGAATAATCCAAATCTTTGAAAGACTTATTATCAATTTACTGGACCATAATTTTTCTCATTGTTATCTAACTACAATCAGAATGCTAAAACGAAACATGTTTCATGATAGAATGAAGATTAAATTCAAGTTCGAGATTTTCCCAAATACCAGGAGAGTATACAAAAATTTCACTAGGAGTTGTCACTAAAGTAACAAAATGTAGATCAAAGCATCCCGAACCCAGCATCTCCTACGTTCTTCTCCCCCAAGACATCAGCTACGCAAGTTCATAGTCTCCCTCGTGCCAGTTTGAAGAATAAAGCACAGCATCTGTACAATTCCTTTTGATGTACAACTGGAATTAGCATTTTCCTATATGCATTTGCCCCACCTGAAGGACAAAAATAGCAGGCTTTATCGATAAAAGTAGACCTTTACTGTCAAAAGTGAACAAAATACCCGAGTTTTTTTAAGTGGCCAGGATAAATACGAGCTCATATGTCTTCTCAATGATATCAAGGATGTCATGTCTCTATATTTCTGTCTACAGGAATCACTATGTGTTGTAACACAACGGTTTTGCTAGTCGTACATCGGGGTGTACCTAATAGTGTACACCTCACTCACATGGACGAAGGACCCACTCGAATAAAATATTATTTCTTTCACATGGGTCCCACACCCATGTAAATGGGGTATATATCATTCGGTATATCCCATTATGTATCACTAGACAAATTCGTAACACAATCTCAAATGAATGTTGTTGACCACAAAAATTGTGCTAACAGAATCTTCACCTCGTCCCCTCCACATGTACCTCACCTGTACATTGAGCACATCGTTTCGATCGAAAAAAGTGGTTGGCAAACGTTTGCACTCCGACGGTCAAATCAATGGCCGAATGAAATATAAAGAGAGTGCAAGAGGAGAGGGGATTTGATTATAATTAGAGAACATACCTTGAAAATGAATGAATCACATGTATGTATAAAAAAATGGAAATTGGTCTCATGAGCCAATGGGCAGGATCAAGTTCTAAGCCCAATATGCAATTGTTCAATTAAATAGTCCGAGACCAGGCTAGGCCCAATTAAATTAAATAGTCGATGCCACGTTGGCCAATGTGGGACCCCCTCCATCACACGTATGCCACGTAATTTATGGGTATAACAATAATCCCCCAAGTTTGAGTCGTATATTTATATACGGGTCAGACTTGAAATGTAAACTATCAAGTGAGCGAGATTTTACAGATTGTCTCAGAAAGTATGAGTAGCTTCAATGAGCAAGGACTTATGAACTGTCTCAAAAAATATTTGTGCGAACCTGAATAAACAAAGGCTTACGAATTGCTTAGAAAGATGCATATAATTTGTCGAAATTTCGACAGCATCTCCTCTGTAATATGGACTAAACTAACATGTAATATAATACAATACAATATATCCACTACATATATACCAAATAAATTTGGGGTCCACTTACCCCTCAAAATAATGACAATAAAGAGAAATAATGATAGCTTAAATTTCTCTAAAATATAATATGCAAAGGGTCCGTCATGTATCATAGTAAATCGTATGCTTGCACAGCTCAATGTAACAGCATTGTTAATGTGAAGCAAGTAACGTGTTGATCATGTGGATAACGTGGCATATGTATTGTCTGTATTGAAAATAATATCGTGACTTGCTAGCAATGATGTGACATGCGTGCTTTGCATTAATAATATAATGCATATGCTAACATTAATAACGTAATGGATAGCTACAGTACTTTACCTCCATGTTGTCGAAAGAACCATGAGATTTTTGAAGTACCTTGTTGTCCGAGGATGAGGCACTATAACCTTCACCTCTGTTGTAATTTGCCATCTAATCACCCTATCATATTACTCACCGATCAGTAACATGCACAGAATTAGAATGCAATTGTTCTAATTCAATGTGCTAATTCTTTACAATAAAGCATACGGTTCATTTAGGTAGAATTGAATTGTCCTTAAAAATTTAAAAATTTAACATGATATTGTAGATGGATTTTTAGCATAGTTGGCCAGTATTGCAACTTAGAATTTCTGCACATAGCATTATGTTTTTCATAGCGAAGCTGGTCTTGCAACTATGTCTTTGTTGCTTGCCTATAATAATCATGTTACTCACCGATCAGTAACATGCACAGAATTAGAATGCAATTGTTCTAATTCAATGTGCTAATTCTTTACAATAAAGCATACGGTTCATTTAGGTAGAATTGAATTGTCCTTAAAAATTTAAAAATTTAACATGATATTGTAGATGGATTTTTAGCATAGTTGGCCAGTATTGCAACTTAGAATTTCTGCACATAGCATTATGTTTTTCATAGCGAAGCTGGTCTTGCAACTATGTCTTTGTTGCTTGCCTATAATAACTGAAACACTTAGATTGTAACCTCCCGCCCTCTGTATGTAATGGCTTTCTTGAATTCGTATAGTTTATTGCCTCTAAGCGAAGTATAGAAGGTACTCACCCGCAAATTTCAACACAAATTAATGATCAAGAAACAAAATCCCATTCCGAAAAATCTTCCAAGAAACCTTCATTGCTTTCTATTCAACCTAAGAAATTCCAACATAAAAAACTTGCTACTGAAGGTTATCAATGTCAAAGCCCATGTCATCTTTAGCAGAGAACAACTTTCCTTTGTACATATCTTTTTCATCTTTAAATAGCTTACCCACCTCAAGCACATTTACAACTTCTCTTGTTCACACTTCTTCGTGCCATGTAATGGAGCTATAGAAACTCGCGACTAAAGTGCGGCTCATGTACATTTGCCGGAATCACCCAAGATGGTTGGAAAATCCGTCGGTCTGAAATATTGTTGCCGACTGAACAATGCTGCACTCAGTTTGACAGCGGTTTTCTTGATTTCAATTTGGGGCAAAATAATTTCTTCACCAACGAAAAGAAGATCGAATTTATTTCAGGTTGATTTTTTTTCTAAGGATTTAGAACAAGGTGATTTTTTTCTAAGGTGCAAAAGAGTGGGATTAATTGGGGAAATGAGATTTTTTT